ATGGTGTCAAGATGGCTAAACGTCTTATCTGAAAACCTGGAAAAAAGAAACCCAATTTAGTGTTCGTTTAGATATTAAAGAAATTGTGGGATGGACAGTTTGCTGTTACATCCGGTACACACACACACACACACACACACACACACACACACACATATATATATATATATATATATATATATATATATATATATATATATATATATATATATATATGATAGTAATAGATGCGTATTCGTTGAATGTAGAATAATTTAATAGTATCCGAAATTAAAGTGAAGATAATGGAAAAAAAAAATTTTTCATTTTTCCTGACATTTCCACACACCCACACGTATATATATATATATATATATATATATATATATATATATATATATATATATATATGTCTGTGTGTGTGTATACATATATATATATATTTTTATGTAAGTGGGTACGTCACTAATACGTAAATTGATGATGAATATAACATTTATTTTGCGGAAAAAATATTTATTGTTCATCTTATGCACTTAAAACTGTGTTGACTATTTATCACACAAGTCGAACATTAGACAGTAAATCCAGTCGATAACTACGTGTCAGGCGCTGAACGCACTGATGAATCCGCACTCTCTCTCTCTCTCTCTTGCTCTCTCTCTCACACACAGGCACACACACACACACACACACACACATATATATATATAGAGAGAGAGAGAGAGGGAGAGAGATGGGTGTGTGGGTGTGTGTAGAAATCCAATTTATATGCCACCCTCCGTCTGGCTATCAGTGATAATGACTTAACGTTTTGTCCGTGGGAAGTTTTAATCAGGCTGACTCACTGGACGGCAAATTCCTGTCAAATCGGATAGATTTGGGGTCTCTGTTCCGAAAAACCGCTGGTGACTGCAACAACTCCCAGGAGTGGACAAGGTCGAGAAAGAATGCGAAATGGAATTATTCATAATTATGTCGAAAGAAAGAGAAGAGAATGAAAAGCGTGAAGTTGCTTTGAATTTTCCTTGAAAAAATATGCGACCAGCAACGCAGTTGGCTCTCTTTGAAGTTGATGGTGGTCAGTGCGGTCCCTGGGAAAGGACCCTTTTTTGTTTCTAACACCTGCTCAGTTACAATACTGCACAAAAAATTTAAAAAAAACACACAAAAAAAACCCAGATTTCACTGTTTTGTTTCTTTTGCATACCCAAGGACGCGAAACACGTCAAAACATTTTCTTAATATATTTATTATGTTTAACTTAGTGTGGCAGAAGGCCGAAAGTAAGAGACACCTTGTGAAAATAAGAGTCCCTACACAAAGTAAGAGACACCTAGTGAAAATAAGTCCCTACACAAAGTAAGAGACACCTAGTGAAAATAAGAGTCCCTACACAAAGTAAGAGACACCTAGTGAAAATAAGAGTCCCTACACAAAGTAAGAGACACCTAGTGAAAATAACAGTCCCTACCCAACTAAGAGACACCTAGTGAAAATAACTGTCCCTACCCAAGTAAGAGACACCTAGTGAAAAAAAGAGTCCCTATAGAAGTAAGAGACACCTAGTGAAAATAAGAGTCCCTACACAAAGTAAGAGACACCTAGTGAAAATAAGAGTCCCTACACAAAGTAAGAAACACCTAGTGAAAATAACAGTCCCTACCCAAGTAAGAGACACCTAGTGAAAATAACAGTCCCTACACAAGGTGAGAGATACCTAGTGAAAATAACAGTCCCTACACAAAGTAAGAGACACCTAGTGAAAATAACAGTCCCTACCCAAGTATGAGACACCTAGTGAAAATAGCTGTTCCTACACAAGTAAAAAAAAAAAACAAGAAAAGAATCTTATAGTAGTGGGACGGCTATCGGTGCGAAAAGAGAATTCGGTTTGCATGCAACATTTCACCTTTCTTAGCATATCATCTTTTATTATTACAATGTCGGATCTTCACGAAAATGACGGAAGAACCAAGAAAAAGAAACTAAATGAAATTGTCGAGACTATATAACGAAATATAGTTACATATAGTTACAGATAATCAAATAAGTTTTTTTTATGGTACAAAATTTAACGATAGCTAGGAAAAAGCAAAATTTATATGGCATTTTAAAAGCTAAAAAAGAAGAAGTTGAGATGTTGTGAGTTTCCCGCGTGTCGGTGTATGAATCAAGACAAACACAGTTGTAGGGGAAAATACTGGTATATTTGTAAAAGCAATTAACAATAGAGTGATTAGTAGAACGAAGGTTGGTTAGTACGAAACAATATCCAAAGTCTATAGTCCAACGGTATGTAACGGGTAACCTTATCTGGACTGCTGTCGCTGACGCTCTCCTGTCCTCGCACTAGAGCTGACTTATATAAGAGAGACCAGTCCATTTCTAATTAGAAGGTGGGTGCGCCCCAACATAAACTAAATTAATATAACGAATGGATTGAAAAAAATATGGATATCAAGAAAGCTAGAGTCCAATAACATTCAAACCCAGTAAGGATTCCCTCTGTTTAAAAAGGGAAGTCCCACGGGATCTGATATACAAGGACTCTAGAACCTTGATGTGATATGAGGAGTGGGACCTAGATAAAATCAAAAAAACAGTCCGCACTAAAATCACGCACACAATTCCTACTATTTATTATATGCTCAGCAATAGCAGAGCCAGAAGTATTGGTTAATTGGCTTTTCCTGGCATCCGGATTCAAAATCATGGAGGGTAAGTGCTGTTTTATTCTCAGATCCAAATGCTGGGACGTCCTCCCTATGTAGTCGAGACGACAACTACACTTACCTTTATAAATACAAATACAAAATAAAGTAAAATAAAAGTTACAAATAAAAAAAATCTCAATTGAAAATGCTAAACGTCCCCTCTCCTTCATGAACATGTGTAATTGCATCAAAGTCAGTCTCACTTTAGTCCGATGAATACTATAGGACAAAATGTTTCATGCGAAAATGTTTTCCCACTTTGTCATTTTAGAAAAATTACCCTTGATATATAAACATTTATATAACGTTTTCCCATATATATATATATATATATATATATATATATATATATATATATATATATATATATATATATGAAAAACCTTATATAAATGTTTATATATCAAGGATATATATATATATATATGTGTGTGTGTGTGTGTGTGTGTGTGTGTGTGTGTGTGTGTGTGTGTGTGTATTTAGGCAACAATCCTTCTTTCATGCACATTTCATTGAATACGACAGACAAGATGCTTTGATTTATTTTTTTTTAGACAATTTCTCTGGACATTCCGCGACTGTTACAACCGAGGAAAACGTTGATTGTGTTCAACACATGGTGATGAATGACAGGCGATTGACTATAAATCAAATAACCAGACCAGCGCTATTAGCATATCCGGTGAGAGAGTTGAGAATATTCTGCACAATGAACTTGGCATGACAAAGGTTTCTGCTAGGTGGGTGTCACGACTTCTGACATCTGATCAAAAGCGCACCAGGCTGATCACATCACAGTAAAATCTGATATTGTTTAATGTAGATGCAGCTGGTTTAGTTGAACGTTTCCTAACACAGGATGAGTATTAGGTTCATCACTTTTAGCCAGAAACAAAGAGTCAATCTCTGTAGTGGAAACACCCCTCATCACTAGCTCCAAAGAAGGCCAGGGTCGTTTCCTCTACAGGAGAGAGGATTACTTCATTTTTTTTGGTTGGGGGAATGTAAAAAGCATTGTGTTTATTGACTATCTTCAAATGGTCGCATCATCATTAGGGAGTACTATGCAATCTTGCAGTTACGAAAGGGTATTGAGACCAAACGGACAGTAAGACTGATGAAAGGTGTCTTGTTTCATTAAAACAATTCTCCAGTATACAAGTCCTTGGTTTCAATGGCTGCTGTTCAGGACTGTGACTTTGAACTGGTTGATCACCCTCCCTCTTCTCCTGATTCAGCCCCAGCTGACTATCATCTGTTCCCCAACATAAAAAAAATCATGGCTGGAAACCAATATCGCAGTGATGTCGACTTCTTATCTGTTGTTGATGAGTTTTTGAACAGCAGGTTGAAAACTTATTCACCAATGGGATCCAACCACTACAAAACCGATGGAAGAAGTGCGTAGACCGCAAAGAGGACTATGTTGAAAAATAAAACTCATTTGGTCACAATCCAATAGAGTATCTTGCTCAGTCTATGAACTTTTCAGTGGCCCTAGTAGAGTGACACTTGAGAAATGCCTTAACCTATGGAACCAGTGAAGAAACTGTTATCTTTAGTACCATCAATAACAGATGCTCTATCATATTAGACAACTGCGGGAGCAACGGAAAACTATTAACCGATACTTAAAAACTGTTAAGTGAAACTCAAAAACTGCTAAGTGATACTTAAAACTGTTAAATGACACTCAAAAGCTGTTAAGTGATACTTAAAACTGTTAAGTGATACTCAAAAGCTGTTAAGTGATACTTAAAACTGTTAAGTGATACTCAAAAACTGTTAAGTGATACTTAAAACTGTTAAGTGATACTCAAAAACTGTTAAGTGATACTTAAAACTGTTAAGTGATACTCAAAAGCTGTTAAGTGATACTTAAAACTGTTAAGTGATACTCAAAAACTGTTAAGTGATACTTAAAACTGTTAAGTGATACTCAAAAACTGTTAAGTGATACTTAAAACGGCTAAATGATATTCAAAAGCTGCTAAGTGATACTTAAAACTGTTAAGTGATACTCAAAAACTGTTAAGTTATACTTTAAAATAATTAAGTGATACTTATTTTTATTATTTATCAACCTTTCACAGGTTATTTAAAGCCAGAAAATATTTTTACATTGTAACTATATTTTTTTTTTTGGGGGGGGGGTAATAACGATTTGCTGACAAAGGTCCTACTATTTAACCCATAACTGGCGTGAGGGAGGGGAAATGGATTCATACCTGACTTGGACTGGAACTCGGCTCTTCGGCTTCCAATTCCGAGCCATTATCCATTACACCACCCAAGCATCCAAACTTACAGCACCTGGCATTTCGAAGCGGTCACCCATCTAGGTACTGAGCAGACTTGACGTTGTTTAACTTCGGCGATCGCACAAGAACCGGTGTTTTAATGTGGTATCTTCGTAAAAAAAAAAATTGTTCCCCTGACAATGATACTTGAGAAATACTCGACGTTACCTGCCCAAAATACCCAATAAGAGCAAAAGGCTGCTACTTCTATAGTCACCCTTGATAGGGATTCTACCTTATCTACCTAGATCAGTGGTTTCCCAAACTTTTTTTCTCTTTGGAACGCATTTTTGAAACAAGAATTTGCTTGCACCTCACCAAATTTTATGTGATAAAAAGTACATTAAAAAAAAAAAAAAAAAATATGAGCCTTAAAGGGAGATAACCGCGGATTCAAAGTCCGAACATTATCATTGTTAAGTCTCTTCTCTAATTTGCGGATCCTAGTTAATGTATTCTTAATACTGGATATAATGCAAACAATAATGCAAAAATATCACAATCATAATATCGGTCAATAATTATTTATACTGGGACTCATGTATGCAATTACAAGTAATTCATAATAATATTTTAAACCTTTGAAATCATAATTATTTTTGGCAAATGAATCTAAATCTTTGATTGCCTTTCAATCATTCCGCCTCACCTGCTATCCTCTTCCGTCGCACATATGAAGCGCACCGCACATATGAGGCGCGCCGCACATATGAGGCGCACCGTACATATGAGGCGCGCAACAAATATGAGGCGCACCGTACATATGAGGCGCGCCGCACATATGAGGCGCGTAACAAATATGAGGCGCACCGTACATATGAGGCGCACCGTACATATGAGGCGCGCAACAAATATGAGGCGCACCGTACATATGAGGCGCACCGTACATATGAGGCACGCAACAAATATGAGGCGCACCGTACATATTTTTAAACATATGAGACGCACCGTACATATGAGGCGCGCCGTACATAAGAGACGCACCGTACATATGAGGCGCGCAACAAATATGAGGCGCAGCGTTTTTATGAGGCGCGCCGTACATATGAGGCGCGCAACAAATATGAGGCGCACCATTACATATTTTACACTTCCGTACATATTTTGCGCACCGTAAATATGAGGCGCGCCGTTACATATGAGGTGCACCGTACATTTGAGGAGCCCCCGTACATATGAGGCGCGCAACAAATATGAGGCGCACCGTACATATGAGGCGCGCAACAAATATGAGGCGCACCGTACATATGAAGCGCGCCGTACATATGAGGCGCACCGTACATATGAGGCGCGCCGTACAGATGAGGCGCACCGTACATATGAGGCGCACCGTACATATGAGGCGCGCAACAAATATGAGGCGCACCGTACATATGAGGCGCACCGTACATATGAGGCGCACCGTACATATGAGGCGCACCGTACATATGAGGCGCACCGTACATATGAGGCGCGCCGTACATATGAGACGCACCGTACATATGAGGCGCGCAACAAATATGAGGCGCAGCGTACATATTTCCTCGCGCCGTACATATGAGGCGCGCAACAAATATGAGGCGCAATTCTACATATTTTTTTTTCATACATATGAAGCGCACCGTAAATATGAGGCGCGCCGTACATATGAGGTGCACCGTACATATGAAGCGCCCCGTACATATGAGGCGCGCAACAAATATGAGGCGCGCAACAAATATGAGGCGCACCGTTTCATATGAGGCGCGCAACAAATATGAGGCGCACCGTACATATGAAGCGCGCCGTACATATGAGGCGCACCGTACATTTGAGGCGCGCCGTACAGATGATTTTTGCACCGTACATATTTTTTGCTTTACATATTTTCTTACAAAATATTTCAGGCGCAACAAATATGAAGCGCACCGTGCATATGAGGCGCACCGTACATATGAGGCGCGCCGTACATATGAGGCGCGCCGCACCGTTTTGTAGCCACTGACCCAGATAGACGCAGAAAAATAATGTTTTCCCGCATCAGCCCAACTTAACAGGGACCAATAAAACTCGAACCGATGTCTTGCCTTAGACGTCGGCGCTGTCGATGCTGGTTCCATCTCTACCTTTAAAAAAGACATTTTCATGTCCTGAGTATTCTATATACATTTTGGTATTTCCTTTTCTCCATGATATCCCACCCTCTGCTCCCATAACTGTGACAACAATATATCTACCAGCCGAGTGCACCTCTTATCTAGCAGTCAGTCAGTCAGTCAGTCAGCCCATCACTGAGTCATCGTTGAAAGCGATTTAATCACACAAAATGCCAGAGGTGAATATTTTGATTTATTTATTATTGTTTTATTTTTTTACTACTAGAATAGTACCCATAAAAAATGAAATGATTTTTTTTTTGACGTATGAACTGGGACTTTTGCCGAGGATTATCAAAATAACTGTACGCTCTTTTTGGAATCAAAATGTTATTCTCTGGTCTTCTGCCCAAGATCATACCGTACTTTGTACAGAGAAATGTGTCACAAATATTGAAATACATTAGAATTTCTTCATGTGGATTATTATTATTATTATTATTATTGCCTTTGATTTGTAGTGTATACTAGCAGTAGAGCCCGGCGTTGCCCGGGGATATAACAGTAAGAGATAGATCAAGTATCCACCATCATAAAGACTGAAAAATAAAATTGACAAAGATTATTCTTTAAGGTTGACGGACACGCATGTCTTAATTAGTTTTTTTTTTTTTTTACGAATTGGTCAAACCCAAACTCAAACAAAAACATTGTTTTCAATCGTTATGAGTCTACCGATTGAATAGAATTTTATTATAAACAATTGTCTTGTAAATGGAATTTTTAAAGCATTCTGAATGTTAAAAATAAAGAAAAAAGTGTGCAAGAGAATAAGAAACACTACCTGCCAAAAAAAAAAGTGAAGTTTTGTTTTATCGGCTGAAAAATATAGGAAATCCGCTCCCATATTTAAATGAACCCACACACACAAACAACCCGATGTGAGTTGTCCCCCTTCCATTTTCACGATGTCTCTTAATCGTGTTTTCAAATTGATTTTGTGCAAAAACAATTATATTTTTCCCATTTTGGGCGCTGTTAGAACCACCACAAGCTAATTTTATGTAGTCCTGTGAAGTTTTGTTGAAATCGGTTGAAAAATGTAGGAAATCCGATCCAATATATAAACGTCACACACACACACACACACACACACACACACACACACACACACACACACACACACACAATTTGCGTTTTATAATAAGTAAGATGTATTCTTTCCAGATCCCAAACAGAGAACAAAAGCCGGAAAGGGCATCATGACATTTTTCAGTGACCATTTAAAAAAAAAAAGAAAAACTAATATCACAAATATTTTACATAGATAAGGGCCTTTTCGTACTTGTGAGTACAATTTTTTGTATTTATTTAAGGCATAGGCTGCCAGGAATCACTTCAATGAGTTTATTAGAAATTTTTTCAATCAAATCGACAGGTCCAACTACAACTTTATTATTATTATTATTATTTACAATATTTACATTATTCGGACTATTGTCCTCATCTTTGTCGCCATATTTATAACAACGTTTCAGCCGTTGTACGCTCCGGCGTTCTTCAGGTGCTTGGAATGCCGAACTGAACCCTTTATTTCGCTCACAGTGGTAGACTGTTCTAGTTCCACGTGCCATGTCCAATGGATGTCAGTTATCTCCTGTTAATTCCACTCTCCAAGTTCCCTACTGCCTTAACCAGGTATTGAACTCTTTAGGTCCTGTCACTGGCACAGTGAATAAAGGCGTTAGTTAGATCCAGTGACAGAACCCAAAGAGTGTGAGTTCAATGTCCGGTTAAGGCAGTGGAGAACTTGGAGATAACAGGAGATAACTGATAACTGACATCCATTAGGCATGGCACGTGGAACAAGAACAGTCTACCCCATAATACCTCATCTCAGAAATATACATAGATTATTATTATTGTTTTTGCTGTTGAGTTTGAGAACAGCACGCTATTATTATTATGATTATTATGATTATTGTTGTTGTTGAGTTTGAGATCAGTACACTATTTTCCAGTGACGATTTAAGAAAAAAAAAAGACTAAGATCACAAATATTTTACATAGGTAAGGGCTTTTTCGTAAGAAGTGAGCTGTACATGTGAGTACAATTCTTTGTATTTCTTTAAGGCATGTGCTTCAATGAGTCTATCGGAATCCTTTCCAATCAAACCGAGAGCTCCAACTACAGCTGGAATTGTTGATCCTCACGTGGCACAATTCCATCTCAAGTTCCTTGTATTTTTATACTTTTCTGAAGATCTTCAAAGATACATTGCAGTCTGCAGGGAATGCCATGTCAATAAGAAGCCATATTCTTTTTCTTTTTCACGATGTCTGGACAATTAGATTTGCTTGTTCTATTTATGCGATAAAGTAAAGTTCCCTAAAATTGTTACAGGTTCTATCTTTGTAACCAGGTCTAGGTGATGTTCATACCAATTTCTTGAAGCTTCCTTCCCAGTAAAAGTTGCAAATTTGCCAGTGCAGATATTGACTCACTCTATCATGCCGGATTTTATATTCAGTGAGTTATATACCGCCCAACCTGATACAATATGATCAATTGTTTCTGGATTGACGTCAATGACCAAAACCACCGCACCAGTGGGCTATGCACGTTAGGCTCAATTTGGCACCGATAACAAGACATCCCCAGAATGAGGGGGCTATGTAACAGATAATTTCAATTCTTCTGATAATTTCAATTTTACCATTATTATTATTATTGTTATTATTATTATCATCATCATCATCATTATTTTTTTATTTCCTTTGATTTCTAGTGTGTACACATTTTTTTTCGGGTCCCGCCCAGAGACTTAAGATTAGAAATGGCATCATGACATTTTCCACTGACCAATTAAAAAACGCTCACATGCACACATATATTTTACATGGATAAATCCCTTTGTAATGTGCGGGCTGTACTCGTGAGAACAATTTTTTATATTTCTTTAAGGCATGGGTTTCCAGGAATCCCTTCAATTAGTCTACTGGAATCTTTTCTACCCAATCCGAGGGATCCAAGTACAACAGGGATTGTTGATGTTCCCATGTGCCACATTTTTTAGATTTCTGTTTCACGGTCCTTGTATTTTGATAGCTTTTTGAAGATCTTCAAAGATTCATTGCAGTCAGCAGGGACTGCCATATCAATAAGGAGGCACTTTTTTTGTTTGCAGTCTCTAATAACAATATCTGGATGGTTAACTTTGATTGTTCTGTCAGTGTGTATTGTGTAGTCTCATAGAATTGTAACAGGTCATATCTCCATAACCGGGTCTGGGTGGTGTTCATACCAATTTCTTTCAGTTTTCTTCCCGTAGAAGTTGCAGATTTTCCAGTGCAGATATTGGCCCACTCTGTCATGTCGGGTTTTATATTCAGTGGGTGCCAATACTGTTCAACCTGATACAATAGATGGTCAATTGTTTCTGGATATTTATCACAGAATATGCAGTTTGGGCTAACACATTTTTTCATTATGTGTGCATTGTAATTTCTTGTGCAGCAAGAATTAATACTTCACTTTCAGCTTTTAATCCTGCACTATGTAACCATTGGTGGGTACGGGGTCTATCTACATTAGCTTGTTTGGTATAATTATTTATAATAATTATGTAGTTTTTTAAGTATTAAAGAAGATTGTGATTTTGCAAAGACATGAAGAGTTGAATTAATCCTCTGCCTCCTTTTTTATTCTGGGCAATATTTGGACGATCAATATCAGATGTATCAAAAGCAGGTGAGAAGCTTTCTCGTTTTGACATCCATTCGCTTAATTTCAGCTATGAAACTGTATTGTACCACAGTGACAGCCAAAGTGTTTATGGCTATTCTGTTTTGTAAATTGAAGATGGTGCTTACCATCAGACGAAAAAATTCTGTAGTATTTTTTCAGGAAAACTTTTTTTGTTCATTTGGGTTTACAATATTCAATCTCCTTCCGAATGACACTCCTTCTGATTTATGGGCTTCTTGCTCCAGCGCCTTAATCTTTGTGACACAATCTAGATCTATTAAGGGCGTTTCTGTATTTCTCCCTTTCTTGAATGTTACTTTTGCACATTTATCTAATCCGAAATTCATACGGAGGTCATCAAATGAAATATTTTTTTTTATTGATGACACCCTTCAAATCATTGTCGTCTTTGGCAAAGAGTTTAATATCATCCATGTAGAATAGCTGATTACTTTCCTTTACTTTTTATACATAGTTATTAAAAGTCCATACGAAAAAAAGGTTAAACGATGACAGAACAGAAGGGGTGACAAGGAGTCTCCTTGAAAGATTCCCCCGTCGGATATTCAAACAATTAGTAGAGGCAGTACCTTTGGTGGGATTTAGTTATATTATGGTTTATGCTATATTTAAGGAAATTTATTGTAATCGAGGAGACTTAGTACATTTCTAAAGTCATAAGGATCCAAGAGTGTGGCACATTATCAAAGGATTTACGGTAATCTACCCAAGATGTGCTGAGATTTCTACATTTTTTCCTGCAATTTTCCAGGATAATTTTATTTATTAGTAGTTGATCTTTGCAACCATATGAACCTCACAGGCATCCCTTCTGTTCGAGAGGAAGAATAGCTATTCCATTAAAAATTTAAAGTAACTGTTTTGTCATAACAGAAATGATCAATTTAAATGTGGTGGGCAGGCATGTTATTAGCCTACAATTTTTTGGATCATCTGTTTCACCCGTATTTGGTAGGAGATTTGCAA